CCTTGGACAGCTAGAGCCACAAGAGTTTCTTGATTTCCACTGCATTGATTGCTTAGCACTGCAGGAGAGAAGCCATGTGTGTGCTATGCTGAACAGCCAGAGGCCAAGGAACATGCTGTAAGAATTGCTGTATGTCATAATCTTGATGCTTAGAAACTTGCAAGCATCATTAGGAGGAATCAGGAGTAGATTTTACTGATCTTGCTTATACACCATCTTTTGTCTTCCTGTAGGGCAGTGCTTAGTTCACAGCTTGTCTTCTGAACTATATTGTCGAATGAGCAAGGTTTCTTATGGCAAACAACTTCCTGGCTTCCACAGTGTCAAGACAGATCCCTTTCCTCATGTTCTGCCTAACCTCCATTGTGAATGAGGTAATAACCTATAGTAATTAATGATCAGCTCATGATGCAGGCATACAAGGCAGGCTGCTTTATGTCTACATAGATGGCCTCCCTGGTTATCTTTCCCAACCGCCCAAGTGCATGACTTGATGACTCCAATACTAACCTTTCTGTGTTTGGTGAAAACATCCACTTGGAAGTAGGCCAAAATTCACCACCCTTATTTCAGATAACCCTCTTGGCATGCCCAGCTTTCCTGAGGACCTGAGAAAGATCAATTGCCAGAGAATTCAACAATTAGGTACAGTCCTTTTTAAGTTTTCTCTCTCTCCCTGCATTCCTTAAAAGTAAGCTGTGATTTGGGTACACAGCAGGATTTGGACTCCTTTCAATTGTGAATTTAGCTTTGCTGAAACATCATAAAGGAAATTAAGAGCCACGGAAAAAGCTTGCTACCCATGCTTTCATTTACCTATTTTGAGGCATTTTGAGGGCTTCCTAATTATCTGCTCCCTTTTGTTTTCATCTAGCCAATAGCAGACATTCCTTTTTAAGAAAGAGAAGCTGGCTTCAGAAACTACTTTGCTGCCCACACAGTAACACTAATGGTACATGTCCTCTAGATAGCAACCTGGCTTTGTCAGACATGAGAAGAAGCCACTTGAAGGTGCAGATTAACTGTGCATGGATTTGGCAGGCTAATCTCCTTGAGCCTTACATTGTTTTTCTTACATCTTCAATGAGACATCAAGTTTTTTTGAATTACAGAACAAATCCTGTGTGTGTGTGTGTGTGTGTGTGAATGAATGGGAGTCATCAGGTTAAGAACAAAAGTCTTCGTGAACCAACCTTTTCTAATACTCAAGGATATTTAATCTGGGTGAATATAATAGTTTCTCTAATAGCTAATGGGATGTAGGGGTGGAAGATCTAGAATATGTTTTTGAAAATAAGCAGGTAGAGCAATTCCACAGCAAATGCTTTCAGCACAACTCCATTGCTGCTGTAAGTGGCATGATGCAGACATCACTAGAGTATTGTAATTATCTCAGAAGCAACTTTTGCAAGGAGGTAAGTAGCTTGGGGTGAGAATTACCTTTAAAAGAAATCCAATCCTATTAAAAGACAAAATGCAAAGTAAAGGTACAGTCTTAACTCTGCCCTTTAGGTAAACCAAGAAGTAAAATATAGAACAGCACAACATTTGTGACTTTAAAAACCAGCTTAATCTAATTGGGGACTATGAAACCTAAAATGCCTCAATTGCATTTATTTGGTTTTTGCACAGAAAATGCTGCCTCCTAGTTCTGGAATAGGAGTGTTATAATTGTTACAGTGAGCACTGAATACCATCTGATTTCAGTTGGTTTCTATTGGCTAATAAATTTAGTGAAGCAGTATTTGCAGGGCTGCCTATGTACTGCAGATCCTTTGTATCTTCATGGAGAAAAAAAAAAAGTGTTTGTTCCAATATACTTTTGGAAAATCCATGCAAACCTATCTGCAATTCCCACAGGAAAGTTTCACATGATTGTCACTGTGTGCTAGTGCTTCCAGGTTTTTTTCATCCATGGATCTTGAAGCTTGTTACAATGAGGAATTGGTAAGCATATCATCTTATCAGGGTCTCATATCCCTGTCATGAGGGTAGTATTTGAGAACCATATGAGCTAAAATCATTAGTAGGGAGTCTGGAATCCAGAACCGATTGAGTTTCAAAAGTACATCAGGATCTTGGCAACCAGCAGTACATTTGTTGCAGTGAATACTGAACCAATGTAGGCCTTGCAATGGGAACAGCTGAGCCTGTGTTCAGTGATCACCTGATGTGTTTCATACACAAGAGTCTTGCTGGCCATGTGCATGCAGAGAACAAGGGTGAGCGTGCTAGATGATAGGCTGCAACTGAAGACGCTAGATGAGTCTCTCAATTGGAAAGAACATTGTGAGCCCTGCAAAAAGCCATCTCTGGTGAATACAGCAGCGATGTGAGAACTTAACCCTGTTTGAGGTCAGAAATTGTTTCCTTTTTTCAATTTGGGCAGAAGACTTTATGAACTTAATTTCTTCCTTGTACATCTGTTCTCTAGCCAGGAGGGACATGCAGGAATAATGCTTCCACACCTGCTCCAGTTTTGGTGGTCTGCTTAGCTCCCATGGGAGGTAGCACAGGAATTCAGCCACTGGAATGAACGGTGGGAGTGCTCTTTTAGCCCCTTATGAGTTCAGATCATTTTCCATGGTCTTCTGCCTGCAGCAATCTCCAATGATGAGACAGTAACATTACATCTCCTCTGCCAGTGTCTGTGTTTATACCCCCTGCCTTCTTATTTTATTGATACTACAGGAATAACCAAAATATGGTGCAAAGTGTAGTAATATAAGTTGCTGTCTTTGAATGTTGCAGTTGGTGAACAAGCAAAAGGCACTTATTTACTGACAGTGAGACCATGCACATTATAAACAAGGGATTCTGGTAGTTTTATTGAAATAACTGTGGTTGCTGCCAACCTAGGAGTTAGTTTGACTGAGAAGGTGAAAGGCTTATTTGCTCCACAACTTTTGCCTGTCTAACAGGCAGTCCTCTGCCTGTAATCTGATTTTTGTTGACTTTGATTGTGCAAGGACTCAGTTGCTGTCATAAGGAGTGTAGCATCACGTGGTGTTCCTGGTGGGTGTCTGTATGAAGCTCTGGACTGCTTTTGGCTCTTCAGAGCCCGATTATGAGCTAAATATATACTCCATGTTTGGGCTGTATATTTACAGGCCCTTCCCTGTGCAATGCTAGGTCTGTGATAAGTGGGAGGAGGCCCACTAGAAATCTACTCAAGCAGGTCTAATTGTACCAAATAGAACGGCTCAGTAGAGTGGAAAATAGTCCTCATATATCTACCCGAAGAAGATAATGACCTTTTAAATAACAGAAGCAATTTTATTTCAATACTCCAATTACTCTGAACTCTCAAATGTCAAAGTGCTGGGCACTTTCAAAATAACTTAATTTAGACATTTATAGCACTTAGACATTGCTAGTTTCTTATCTAACCTAATTATGGGTTGTACAGGAAATTGCAAAGCATCCCAATTAATGTTATTTTTTATAGTGAAACATGGAAGTGGCCTTTGCCATTTGCTGTCATCATGTGCACAATGATTTACTCATTTGGACTTTTGAGTTGGTTCCCTGGCAGGACAGAGCTCTTCTATTCTCTGATTGATCTTTGAAAGTAAGTGAGGAAGAAGTAGGGGTAGAAGTGAGTGTAGTTATGTTTGCCTGTGGGATTTGAAGGGCACAAATCTCAGTGAGAGCGGAGTGACTTTGCAAGACAGGATCATTTCAGGCATAGAGATGCCATATAGAATAATATCAGCTGGCTTGCAACCTTTCTGATCTGAGTATTTAGGCTAGGATTCTTCAGTTACCTCTCAGCTTTGGTATGAGTGCAGTGGAATGAGGCCTCATTTTTCCTGAAGATAATCCAAATGGATCTATGTTTAATTTCTCAGAGACGTGGAGCTGTAATTAGCTGTGTAATGTATCTGCTGTCAGATATGTCCAGTGCCAGCACAGAAGATGAAGTAAAAAAAAAAAAACAAAAAAAAAAAAACAAAGAAGGTCTCATTTCATGAGGTTCTCTACGTGCTGAGCCATAATGCACTGTTGTGTTCTCATTCACTTTCTTATTGTGAAATATTGCTGCTGGATTTTAACCAGAGTTCAAGAAGCATTTGGACAACGCTCAGAAATATGGCTTGAATTATGGGTGGTCCTGTGTGGAGCCAGGAGTTGGAGTATGTGATCTTTGTGCGCCCCTTTCAACTCAGGATACACTACAATTGTATGATTCTTTGGTATTTGATGTAGGAGAGTCCCAGGTTTTGCACAGCAGGGAGAAGTTTGACTGCCCTGGCTTGTGTTATTTACTGAAATAAAGAGCCTGTGCAGCTCTCAGCTAAAAGCATAACAAAGGCTTCATTTCTGACTGGGGCAGTCAAAGACTGAGAAGCTCAACTGAGGGTTGAGCAAAGAAAGCAACAATGCTGATGAGGAGCAAGAAAGTTAATATGGTGGCAGGAGAGGTAGGGTTCTTGCTCTACCTAATGTTGTTGCAGTCAGTAGAGCATGTTGCTTCATTTAGCCTCTGAGCAGAATGCTGCAATATGCAACAGCTGCCAATTTGCTGAAAGAGTTGAGGCAGCTCTGAGAGGGGATGTTTGAAATTCACAAGTTGGAGCAATGGCATGGAGTGATTATGGCTGTGAGAACAGAGGAGAGGAGAGGAACCCTATTGCTTTGAGTTTTTGAGAACAGGTGAGACCAGCCTGTACCACACTGGGTCAGGTTAAGTCAGGCTGAGTTAATCCAACCTTTAGATCAAACGATGGACTAGCTGGCATCTCACAATCACCTCCATCTTTATTTTATCCTTTCTGAGAGGAATAATTCAAACTTGGAGTCTTCAACTTATATGCACTTTTTCCATCTACTCTACCTCCCAAGTTGGGTAACAAAATTGAGACATACTAAATGTGGAACAAAGCATACCGAATGAGGATATTTTAGATTAGCGGAGGAAACTCAGAAGAACAACCATTATCTAGTAGAATTTAGGGATTATATGTTTCACGTTGGCAGTTTAGACTGTGACAGCCAAAATGATCATTGCACTATGATGTTGCTTACCAGTTTTGATTTGGAAAAGATCTCAAAGTAAATAAATAAATAATCAACAGACTGTGACCAATGTATAAAAGATCAAATAAAATTTCACCTGATCGGAGTCCATCTATGCCAGCAGAACTTGGCCAAACCCTGGCTAAGGATATAAGTTGTTTGAACTTCTTAAAGAAGAGAATTCCACTATTCTGTTACTGTTATTCTAAAACAAATAATTTGCTTGTAATTACAGAGATAATGACATTCCAACCACACCTACCATTAGAAAGTTGTAATAAAGAGTGATTAAAAACTCCCCTTCCTTGGGCTGCAAAATCAACCCCTACACAGCCTGCAACACTAATATGATTTACTCCTATTTGCTGGTGGAGGATTCTGGTAATAAAATTTAATGTGGGGGAACAAGGCACATTTAACCAAAGCTGTAAACATCTCTAATTCTGTTTACAGCTATAGGGTGCAGTACATTAACATTTAACAATCTGACACTAAATTGGACTGAAGCTAATAGAGCTGTATTTGTTAAAATTTCAGCACTGGGCCGTGTTTTACCAATGACAACAGAAGGAGTAACCAAAATCGTATGACTCAGCAGATTTCAACCGCTGTTTAATAGGGTCTTAAGAATCTTCATGGGAGCTCCTGTCGTAAAAAACAGTGGACCATATTCAGCTCTGCTGCTATTCTGCTTAAGCATGATGGAGTTAGGTCAGAGTGAATTCTACGTTGCATTTCCTACGTTAGAAGGAACTAAATCCAGTTTATTCTGTATTTCTACTAGGTTATACTCAATGAAAGTTTTTTCTCTGTAGAACTGAATTCCTTTGAAACATAAAGATGCACAATTACTTGCAAGAGGAAGGATGATGTTTTACTTTCTCCAGTAAAATGACTCGATACTAGTAAATCTGGGTGGATACTGTGTAAGAAGCAGCTTAGGAGATATCTGCTCATGAAGACAGGTGTTATCTAAGTAGTGTTTCCAGACTCTTCTTGCTCAGCTGTCAGGATTCTGCTGTGATTTACATCAGTCACAAATGGAAAACATTTAAAAATCATGGAATTTTCTGCAGAATGAAAAATTTGGTTCTCACCTACTGAGATCATCTTGTGTCTTGCATTTGGACAAATAATTATATTCATATTGTTCTCTAAAAGCAATAAATCCTACACAGACTGGGAGAAATTATCTCAACAAAAAAGGTAATTTATTTAGCTCAATTAACTATTATTTTGGGGAATTAGATATAAAACATAAACAAGAATATATATAGATATTAATACACAAAGAATGGTATTCATTAAAATACTGGGCATAAGCATACAGTAGAGGACTTGTCTGAACAATGGACATAATGGCCAGCTGAATATAAAAGCAATGTTTATATTACCAAACGTGTAGTTTTTGCAATTAAGTGACCAAATTAGTAATGTGCTAGGGTTGTAATTCTTTTGGAATTAAAAATACTAATAAGTCCTGTAACTTTCTAATGCTTTCCTTACAGCTCTCTTCTCTGAATATTCAGACTCTGGATGTTACAGAATGTATCCCTGAATGTTTAATGATTCTTTAAGCACCGGGTTTTTTTGGTCAATGAGCTGAAAGCTCATGAGAGAATAAAGAATGATGCCATGTTGTTTTGGTGGATGATTAAAGTCCTACAGTAATGAGAAGGTAAAACAAACATCCTTGACAGCTCATGAACCCAAACATAAAAAATGCAAATAATTACTAGCAATAAACCTATTAACAAAAGCAGGCTTTAGTTTGGAAAGAACCACTTCAGTGAGGAGCTAGGGGTGGGATTAGTACTGTACACAAAGGCCAGCCTGACAAATCTTGAATTCTTCTCTTATGAAAGAAGTTTTCAACTAGCATGGAAACGGGTGGCTGCATTTTACATTTACTCAACCTGTCTGCAAGGTGTTTATGTATGACATATAATCTCTATCCCCATTCAAGAAAAGTTTAAAAACAGTTTATATGGACTTGTCATCCAAAGATTGCTCTTCTCTGTCGCATGGTCCTCCCTGAAGTGTTGCTATTGTCCTCTGCTCCCAAGTGCTAACAGTAGCAGCAACATGAGGTTTCCCAGCTGTGCTCTGAGCCCTGGCATGAACTTGCTGTGTCACTATAAGTGTCACTATAAAGATCTGACCAGTGAAGGAAGAAGGTACCTGAATCAACTTAAGAGTTTCAAAGCATGTGGCCCACCAGTGCTACTCAAAAACCCACATGCTGCTGAATGAATGCCCATCAGGGGGCTGCCTCTGCCTTATGCAGGCCTGGAGAACACCTGGCATGTGCTGAACATCAGATATCCAGGCCTGAGAGTGGGCTAAAGAACCCATGCTTTTATGTCCCTATTAACTCTGCAGTTACTCAAGGGTTAAAGCTTCCAACAGCAGAAAGGAGCTGGGTGTTCAACCCCAACCATGAGTGGAGACAGAGCATTGCAAATTCAGGAGCTTGAAAACATCAGTCCTTTCACGACTGGCATGCCAGAGAATAACCAATTTTCACCAATGGATATCATAGGAAAAGGAAGAATCCCTTCTCAGCTAGCAAGAGGGGAAGCAAGAAGAACATTTTTGCAGCCCAGTTTCCCACCTTCCAAGCCATAGCCTTTCCAGAGAAAGGACTCCAAGGTAAGTAAGCACGGTATTACAGAGTCTGCTCTGTGCTAAAGGAGATGATCTGTGATTTTCCTTTCACAGCAGAAACTTGCTAATAGGCCATGGGAGGAAACTTTTGCAGGTTTAGGAGCACCAGCCTACAGCAAGGCCAAAACCAGTGTCCTGGTTCTGTGGAAGTTTCATACAGTCAGCTTTTTCCGATTCTCAACCAGAACTATAAAAGCATCAAATCCTGCAAAATATTCCCAAGCTATAAATATTTTTCCTCAGATTGGTGTGGTTTAACAAGGAATGTTTCCTTTGGATTATTTTGAAGTGTTTGATTTGAAGTACATAAGTAAGGTACATAGAAAGGGAAGTTGGAAATACAGAAACCAAACTTTCTGATAACTACTATGAGCCGAGAGAAGGCAGAAGAAGTAATTCTAGATTTCCATTTTCTGTGGAAAAAAAAATTCAACTTTACTGAATTAATATTTTTCTAATGGGATGAACAGCAGAAATTTGATGAACTTCTGGTCAGTGATTCTTTCTCTGGTGGAGAGTTGATGTGCTCTGATCCTGCTGCTGGTATTTCTGAGGTGGCTCATGTTTGCAGCTGGACTTGTCACATTAGTGTCGAAGAAGGAATGAAGATCAGCACTGAAAATGCCCGAAGTGGAGCTTCATCCTCTGTAAAATGGAGGGGACAAACACTGCAAGGGTGTCTCTGGGATGTCACTTGTCAATCAGCTGCTTATTCTGTGATTACTTCCAACTACGTTTTGTTTAAAAGTCATATAGAAATACAAAAGCACATGAATGTCAATAAAAAAATATGGACATTTGTATGATCTTTATAAATAAACAGCACAGCAAGAATTAAATAGAACACAGACAAAGGACAGTTATACAGGCATGAACTGTTACAGCTTGTTCTCCTCAAAGAGTATCTGTGCGTAGACTGTCGTACTGGGAATGCCTTTGGCCTCCTGAATCGGCTTCATAAGTTCAAGTTCAGCATATGTTAAATTCTCCTCAGCGATTTTTGGCTAGGAGACAAACAACAAATTAGTTATAATTCCATTATCACTGAATGTACAAACCACTTTAAATATCCAATTGAATAGAGCGTATCTTTTCTCAAGGATGCTTGTTCTACTCTGCTGCCAACAAATTTGCTCTGTACTAAATGTAGTTAACAGAGGAAATAAAAGTAACTTTTGTGCCTCATCAGTTATAGCCACAAACAAAGGAGTTGCTTTCAGATTGCATCTGAGCCTTGGATTTCAAGCGGGCTCCAGTTTGTCCGTGGAAAGTTAGTCTGTATTCCTCAGAAAAGAGTAAAGTGCAAAGACTCTGGTGTTCTCATGTTGAAGACTAAGAAGGACAATTTTAAAAAGTAGCCATGCAGTTTGTTGCAGTCACAAAACTATACCTCAGAGGAAAGTATCTCTGAGACAAGGGAAGGGTCTCCAGCTGCAAACTGAAAACTGACTCAAAATTCATAAAGTAAGGTACTTAAGCATTGTAATGGGGAAAAAAAAACATACACAAAAAAATGTTTTCCCAAACCAAGATTCCTTTACATTTCGGTTACTGCTATCTTGTCCCTTCTGACTTAATACAAATGATTCCTGTTTATTTAGAGGTGTTTGAATAATTATTATATTATCTTCTGACTAAGATAATATTCAAAATAAATATTGAATATTCTCTGAAACCAGTTCCCCTGCTCCCTCGCTTCCTGTCTTTTGTGCTTTCCTGGAATCCTTTCATTGTGCCCTGACAGTTGCTCACACTATGTGTTTCAGGTTGTTTCCCTCTGGGTGGATCAGCTTACGCTTTTCCTGCATGAATTTAATCTTAATTCTCCTCTGTAGATCTGATGCTGAAATACTCTATGCAGCTGCTACTGCAAGTGGTATTGCTGCAGTCAGCTGATCTGTGCGTGTGAGTAAAGGCCATCTGCAGGATTCTAATCTTTGCATTTGATTCTTCATATGCATTTGATTCTTCCCCTACCTTGCATGGGTAGCCCTACTTGATCTCAACTTCTGCTTCTCATTTGCTACTGAGTGCTTCACTACTGACTTCACAAAATTTCCTACTTTTGTGGATTTTTCTGGTGCTGGGATATAAAAGAACATTCTGTGGACTGCAACTGGATCTCACAAAGGCACAGAAAGGAAGTCTTTTTGATGACATACTGGGAGTGACCTAAAGGTCAGAAAGGCATCCATGTTATAGGCTAAACAGTTAAAAAAGCTCTTAGTCATCTGCTGTGATTAATTACATCTCTCCTCCTTCTGGCATTAAAGTATCTAGCCTCAGGGTTAGATAGGCAATCGTTTTTGCCTTTTTTGTTTAGTATTTCTTTACAGACCTCAAAACTATACCTGCCTGTCTATTCAGTTGAAAGTGAGCTAAGTTGATGGTGGACATCACAGTAACTCCTGCAAATGCTGAAGGTTTTATTCTTGGTGGTATTATTTATTCTTGGTAGCTTAGTAGATCTAGCTTCTGTTTGAAGTTATTTGGAGTTTTGCTGTTGGCTTTAGTGTGAGTCACCTCAGACCCTGAATAGAATGATAAGTTGCAAATACTGAAGGTTCCTAAAAAAGAATCTGATAAAACATTACAAACAAGCTGTTGTTCACTGTTAGATTAAAACTCCATTTTTCCAAAGACTAATTCAGTACATTTTTGAAGTGGAAATGTTTTCATTGTTCTGTAGAAATCAGTTGCTGAGGGCATACTAAATCTGTATATGCTTTCCCCTTCGTTGTTTAATTGCATTTTATGTTATGTTTCCATTTAGAAAATGCAGCATGTCCTAAAATAGCCACATCAACGCCCAACTCATGTAAATTTCAGAACTAAGATTTATGAAATCATATTGTCCAGGTGTTTTATTGTATTATCTCAAAATTGCATTGTTTTCCAGTGTAGATTATCTCTTTATTCTTACTTTATTCTATTATGTTTGGATATGAAAAATAACACTAAATTCCCCAAAACAGGTCATTGGGCAGTAGTGGCTGATGTGTTGTTTTCATACATTTTTATGATGTTCCTATAGTAAACATAATTTAATAAAGCCAAAACACACTAAATAAATAATTACATCTAGAAAAGCAATAAAACCAAATAAAATTAGTACTTTCATAAGTGGAAAAGGTACTTCAATTACTGCTACAAGGAACAGCACACCATAAAATGTGTAGAATAATTTCCCTTATGCATATTTCTAGTATGTAATAATTTGATTGAAAATATGAGGAAACACACAGGAGGTTCAAAATTGTGAAGTGTATACAGTTTTCAGCAAAGGATGTGTAATAACTGCACATGGAAGCCAACGCTACTTTAGAGTACCTATGGTAGCCAGGGTTGTTTCTCCATGTGTTCTTCTGCACTTCATTTATCAACCACATATTTAATTTAATTTTGGTGGTTTGTTTGTCCAAACACAATTTTTTTTTTTTTTTTTTTTTAGCAGGTAGAGAAAGAAAACTAATTCTGTGATTTCATCTCTCATTTGGATTGGTCAGCAGTTTGGCAATATAAGCCTGGAATCCTGCCACCGTCTCCTTTTTGGAACAACAATGTGACTTTCAATAACTGATGTTTGAAGTGGGACTGACACTTGGACAGAAGAGCGAGAGGCGGGGAATGACTGACTGTTCACCTCTCTCTTTCCATCCTGGCTCTCCACCTAGGAAGTCATTGAGATTTCTATGGCTACAACGTCTTTTTTCTGAAAAATTACATTATTGTTCTAAAATGATATTGAAATTATTTCTTTAAATAGAGTTCTATTCCAAAGTGACATTTCTAGATGTGGCCTTTATCTTGTTCATCTGTTTTGTTCTTGTCTTGGAATCGCACCCTTTGCAGAAATACATGTTAGGAAGAGAGTCATCATTTTCCAGTGTATCCTCTAGCAAGTACAAAATCACTGCCAGTTTAATTTTATTTATTTCAGTCACAGTCTTTCTCTGGGCAACTATTGAAAGAGTTCAGTTATAGGAACATTTTTTCAAAAAGACAATCTGTGAAGTCTGACACGTAGCTATTTTAAAAAAAGCTATAATATATATATGCACAATTTTGTTTATTGAGTTTTTCCAGTACAAAAGTACATAGAGAAGACCTTTATGAGTTTAGATTTTAATGAAAATTACTCTGATTATGTCCTGATTATGACCAGATGGGTCAATTTTGTTCTTCTTAAGCTCAGCTGGGTTGTTTATTGGCAGCATCAAGAATGTTTACTGTGAGCAATGTCAGACTGAATTTTTTAAGTTTTAACTAAGACTACTTGTACCCAAATTCAGAAATAGGTATAGAGAAAACAAGCAAATACTAACCTCATAATTTTAACTTGCCTAGAGAACAGGTCTGGTGGGTTGGAACTAGGTGATATTTGAGGTCCCTTCCAACCTAAGCGATTCTATGATTCTGTGAAAAACAACTGCTGCCAGTTTCCACTATAGCCTCACTGTTTCACCACCTTATCAGTCATTGTGAAAATGGCAAAACAAATCATAGAATGTAAGTTTCTAATTTAAAAAATAATATTGATACCCTATTGATTCTAGTTTACCATCGAAAGTAAGCAGGCAAGGTCTCACTTCCCAATTCATTACAGTCTTTAGTATGTCACTGATTACTGCTTCAGACATTTGCCTTAGAATCCTGTATCCATATAATCGCATGTGAAGGAGTTGTTTGGGATGTGATGCAGAATGACTTTAACAAGGGATGAGGTTAAGAAAATTTTGCTTACAGAACAAATTGAATTGTCACCTAGCAGAGGGGGACTTTAAAAATGACTTCTAGAGACCTTTGTGAGAAGCTGAAGCTAGATCTGAGAGTCGAATTATCCCTCAGAAATGCAACTGCTGGCCAGTAGGAGTTCTGCAGTATCAAGGGAGCCATCGTGCTCTCTGTGCCAAGGCTCAGAAATATGACACTGGAAAATCCTGGAGTGGGAAGTATGTCTTTTAGTGGCACTACCAAATTAAAAAAATGATGGCTTCTTTCCACTAAGATGCCTGGTTTTTAATCCCCAGAAGTGGCTTCGTCACTGGAAACAACATCCACAACAATTTGTGAGCCCTCTTACAGCACCGCATCTAAATTTTGCTTTTGAATCCCACAGAAGTTTTGATAACAAAGTCAGAAACAAAGATGATTCACTAAGTCCCATTGAAACATTTATTTTAAAGAAACAGAATCCCATAAACATAGGGCTAGTGGTATCTATATGGAGATAGTTCATCTTCCTTCATTAATAGAGTTAATGTACCTGGCAGAGGTTTGTCCTGACTGTTTTAACAGCTTTTGCAGAAGAGTCTTTCCTTTTGCTAATGCATTATGCCACTGTAAAAGGTGGCAGAGTTATTTCTTGATTCTGAACCAAGTCAACACTGCTGGAGATCAGGCTGATTTCTTCTTGTCCTTCAAAAAGACTCAAGGACTTTACTTTTCTGGTGAGACATGATTAGTGTTCCAAAGGTGTTATCACATAAAAATCATCCGCTGTAGGATTTTGTAAATGCACAATCTCAGCACAATTCCAGCAAGAGTTTTTCTGTATTTACATAACCTTTCTTTCTTGGGGGTAAAGGTAGCAATGTGGGACCTGGATGTGAAAGCAGACATAACTCAACAGTTCTGAATATGACTTGTTCTGAGTTTCAACCTGACAATATAAATGATATTCAGGAAGAAATGGACAACTCACACCTTAATGAGAGACAGCTGAAGAGAGGCTGCTCATCCGGCATAGAAATAAATTATGTGGACTGAATGGAAATATTCAAGGATCATAGGGAGTTGAGGGAAAAAAAAAGTTCGATTTTTCTTTGTATATCATATGTACAATGTTACTTGAAGTCTGTGGAGATAAATAATACCTTGAGAAACTGGAATCTTAAATCACAGACTGTTACATGTTGCAGAGGAAACAACCTCTAACAGAGGGTGGCTATTTATTTAAAATCATGCAGGAGGAAGACAGACATGACAGTTCTCTGACCCGGAGTCCTAGAAGTTATTGAGCAGTATTTAATTTGCCTTTTGTTTAAGAAAGAAAAGATGATATTGAGACTTATCAGGAGTTCTAGGTGTTGCACAAAAAATGATGAGCCCGTTTTTCCTAGCTGGCATGCTGAATATGGCATAAGACTGGTTTTGAATAATGTACTGCCTAATTGTAAGATGAAAAAGAGGGGAGGAAAAAAATCTGTTAATTGTGCATAATAACCTTGCAATGGGAAAATTTGCTCCTGTATTCCTGTGAGGCTGAAGTTGTAGGATAACAGCTTGGAGCATCATTTAGAATGCACAAATTTTCCCCTGCAAGCAAAAAGCAAAAGAAACTTCTCTATGTATGTTTCAGGGCTCCCTGAAGCAATTCTGAGACTGCAGATCATTCAATTGCACACCTAGACCCTTTCCCAGAAGGACTCCAAAGTCACTGCTTTAGATATGCAGTGGGTCTGGTTGGTTAACTGTACAATGGAAAACATCCTGAAACCTAAAAGTCAAAATGATTTTTCAGGTGAAGGAACATTCAGCTTCTGGGCAGTCTAGGAGCACCTTTATTCATTGCTTGATTTAGGATTATACACATATATAGAGCACTGAGCTAAATGCAAAATAAGCTTAATTTGGCTGAATATATGCGGATGATGAGAGCGAACTGTGGCCTTCTCAGTTCCACAGGTGTCAAACATGAGGTCCTGTTCAAAACAACTCCCTTCTGCCTCGCAGACAAGCAGAATCTGGTCAGCTGTGCCTGGATTAGTTGCTTGCAAATGGCAAGCCTTCAGACACACTGCTCACTGCAGAGTCAGCACGTCATGTGCAGGGGGGACTGTCCTGACACGCACTGCCTAGCATGCAGCACACTGTCAGCATGCAATGGTAAATAAGGATGGGATTTTTCAAAGCTGGAAAAAAAAAATTCTGAGCTTCCCCTGCCAGGATAAACAATGCTGTCTGCACTGTATAGGCTATGGGTAGAGAGATGCTTCTTACAGATAGCTCAAATACAGTCACTGGAAGCCCTCTGCTTTAGAAGACAAATGACCAGTATGTGTTCTGCGATTAACAGAACTCAGATGCCCTCCAGTAACAACTTAGTCAATGCAGGAGTAGTAGAAGCCAACTCCTATGGACCGTGTGCTTTACATTTATAGCATATCGAAGGAACTAGGACCAGGGGCATCATTTGTAACATGGAATGAATTCGTTTGTTCACAAAGTGGGATGACAATCTGACTTGTCAGTGGCAGAATCAGGAATATTCCCTGGATTCTGTCTTACCTGTGCAAGCTTTCCTTTCCTTATAATTTAATGTAAAGGTGATTAAGTCAATAAACATTTCATCCAAGTTTGCAGTACTTGGTATAACTTGAAATCAAGTTCTTTCCATTAGCCCCAGTGAATCTCACAACAACTCCTATGTTTGGTGGTGCAAACATTTGTGAAAACCTTTCCATTTCTATTTCAGCACCTGAAACTCTTGGACAATGACAACTAACCTCTAGAAGGCAATTAAAGTTTTACCAGAAAATTTGGTTAAAGAAATACAAGATTTGTATCTACCAACTCAAATGGCTATGTACTTAAGGCTGTAGCTGAATGTTCCTTAGAGAGAAGAATTTGTGGGCCTCTAGAATTTTCTTCTTCCTAATGACTCTCTGTGCTTCCTGCACGCTATAAAACCCATCCCTTTTTGCAGTTCATCATCTCTATTTCCTCTGATCTGTACACATTTCTCACTGATCTTAATAGAGAATGACACTGATGGGGAATATTTTTGCAACAAGGGGAGCATAGAATTGTTGTTCTGGCTAAAGCAAAAGCAATATGACATAAGCAGAGTTTTTAAAAGGCTTTACTCAAAGCTGTGCAATTGAACATGATATTAGGTTTTCTCTTTTTGTTTTTAATTTTCATTGAGATTATGTCCATATTTTATCCAGGTTATTGTATTCTTGTAAAATTATACTGCAATCCACTCTAGCATGTTAACAACAAAAGAAATTTGCTGGTTTATTATAAACATCTTTCAAGAAACCAGAAGCACACGTCCTCTGGAAATAATTCTGCCGGTATTTAGGTTATTACAAAAATTTTCCCAAAACACTGGAATTATTTTGTAATGTTTCCTTATTCTCAAGCTTGTTTGCTGAGGTTTCTGGAATATTCGTCTGGTGTGGTACTTCCTTAGGCTGCACAGGGAAGCTACAGAAGAAGCCCTGAAACTCGATAGTTTGAGTCTCTCATTCCAGCTCTGTGCCATTTGTGAAAAAAGGCCCAGTATTGACACCAGCTGTGCAATCATTACAGCTGGAAGGAAAGCAATCTCTTATCCTGCAGACATTTGGCAGGATGGCAATAATGTTTTTTCACCCCAAAGGAGACTGAAAATTTAAAATCTGAGAGTTTTGAGGATTAAAAAAATGGCCTTGTGCACAGGTAGCCAGGCTGTGCCCTGACCGTGCACAAAAGGGCAGGGAATATTCTGTGACAATTGGTGGGAAGGTTCCCAGTCCCAGTCCTCACCTGAAAGTGAGCCAATTGCAGAGACATTTGGGTTACTCACACAATGTAACTTTAGGCACCCACATCCACCCAGGTGCTGAAGTCAGGGAGTTAGTCACCCTCTCCATTGCCAGAAGAAGGAGGAAGTATCCCCAGAAATGTAGAGCACCTGGCTGGGCTCCTGCTCCAACTCACCTCAGTCTATTGACTCCATAGGGAGCCCTGCAGGGGTCTGGCCGTGGATGCAGCTGAAATAACTGCTATAAAGCTGTCTAGCTGTCTCTACTACCCCAGGTATCTGGACCAGGTGCTGCTATGTTACACCTGCTCATCTAGCTGACTTGTCTAGCAAATATACACAGGTGTTTATTAACAGAAAGTCACACCCAACAGAAAACAGATCTAAGATTTCTTTTACCTTATTACGAGCAGCAAACATACATTTCATCCCCTCAGCTTCAGCTATTGCTGACTTACACTATGGGGCAGAATCCGGCTCCCCTCTTTCTGACTTGAAAAGTCACAAAGGCAGCATGACAGCACAGCTATTATCTGCTGAGGACAGATGTGTTCTGCAGAGCATCAGCTCCCAGCAGCATGTGAGAATCAATAGCAAGTTTCTTTTAGGAACAAGCTAAATCTGTAGGCACAACAACTGCAAGAAAGTGGAAAAATATAATCCAGTGTAACCTAGTGCTCAAAATGAAAAAGGCCAAGGTAATTCATCACTTTACAAAGTCACAGAATTACAGAATGGCTGGGTTGGAAGGAATCTTAAAGATCATCCAGACATGGGCTTAGTGCCCCCCACCAGGTCAGGGCCCAGCTTTGAACGTCTCCAGGGATGAGACACCCATAGCTCTCCAGGCATCAGTGCCAGTGTTACTGTAAAAAAACATTTTTGTGATTTTTCAGCCAACTTGTTTTTTCTGAACCTGGAGTTGTGGCAACATGACAGAAATTACATTTAGAGAGAAAAATATGGAGAAAATGTCATAGAAAATTACTTACCAGGATCAATTTTCTTTGAGGTTTCAAGAGCTTGGGCTTAGGAATATTGGGTATTGGTGCTGTGGAAATAAATATTAAGGGGTCATTTCAAATTACTGTAATTCACTGTCATTTTTTAGTGTATGCATTAGCAATTTATAAATCACAGATATATAGTGGATTGGGAGTAAATAAATACTGTAGTTACACTTGTATAAGATCTTAGCTGTATTTCAGATAACTTATTTTACAATGAAGCATAGGGCTTGTGAATTGGAAAAAAAAATGTAAGATTCAAGGATCTGATATGCAAAAGATACTGTTTGTATGCAGAAGCCAGGGTCAACACAGATCTTGAGAGCTGGTTGTTTGTGATATAATGCACAGAAATTCTCCAGTTCCTTTCCCTCCCTACCGCTGGCAGTGCCCTGTCACCGCACACACAACTCTCCCTCCTCAGTGTGCCCAGCTTTGAACTCTCTCTGCATCTCCATTCTCATACCTTTTTCTGGGATGGCTGGTGGCAGCTCTGCTTTTTCTTTCCTTTTCTTCACCTTCTTGGGCTGCAGAGGGGACATGCTCGTCACACTGGTCACAGTCTCTCCTGAGCTGCAATGCAGAGGGAAAAAGTGAAGGCAGTGCAGGGACAAATAGTGTCAGTGTGTTCATGCAAGCAGGCATACTGCCTTTCATTTGTGCAAGTCCCAGCCCAACAACTTGGATTCTGACCTGGGGATGTACTGAAAAGCCTCTGAGAGGGCGTTGCAATTTCTTGCGTTTCTTCAGCCATGAAGTTGGAAAAGGCCACTAAGATCATCTAGTCCAGCTATCAAATGTGTGTCCCAAAGTCTGAGATAATAGAACCTTCTTTGAATATTGAGGGGGATGGATATGCAGTCAGGTTGCAATGATTTGATTCTGTTACCACATGCTAGCTTGTAACTAATGTGAAACAGAGTCATAGAACTATTTGAATTGGAAAGGACCCCTAAAGACCATCTTGTCCAACTCCTGTGCAATGAATGGGTACACCTACAGTGAGATCAGGTGTTCAGAATCCCATCCAGCTTCTACCATCTCTCTGGGCAACCTGCGCCTCACCACTGTTATTGTAAAAGCTTTCTTTCTTATATCCAAGAAGTTCTTCATAATAAAGGTAGTGATGTAGGATGGCTGTGGGGATGGTCCGGGCCTGTGCTGGTACATTACACCACGCAGTGGGACCCTATGAGTTTCTCCACAGCAATAATACAGACCGTACTGATTTCTCTGAATTTGAAGTCATTTGTCCCAGGATGCTGTTCCTCTCAGGTTCTTTTGCATAATGAAACATTCTCTTTTTATTAATAGAATTAAATATTCAAACTGGGCCAAAGTCTTAATGAAAGTTGAGATGTCTCATCTATTGCCCACACAAGAATAACAAAATAACTGGCATTTCAATTCTACACAGCTGTAAATCCAAATGAATATCACTATCATTGGTGAAATCACTCTGGATTTATGCTTGTGTCAATTAAAAAAGTCTCTGGTTTGCTGATTTTGCTGAATTCTGTTCCTCGTATTCACTCCAAAGCATAAGTTTTCTTCCAGATTTCTTAAAAAAAAATATTTAAGAAGTAAAATATTTTCATAATTTATAAACAAATCATATCAATTATGTAAACTGAGGGTTGCATTAAAGTAATTTTAAAGTCTGCCTGCATAACTGTGAACCTATCCCACAACAACCATTTGTTTCTCTATTAAAATCAAGATGTTAAATTGTTTTAAACCAGCAGGAAATGAAGCTGTCCTGTCTAGCCCCATTGGTCAAACACAGCAAACTGCAAAGGACAGAGCGCATCAAAATGGGGAGGGAAGTGACTTTTCGTTTGGTGTTTTTGGTCATTAAGGCAGATGTACAGCTTAAAAATACTACTGTTCTAATATTGCTGCTTTTAGCACAATATATGAAAAGGCTCAGTGTCACTTCATTGCATTTGTTATTCCTGTTTGGCCGCTGAAAATGCGAAGCTACAGAATAATGTATTTGTGGCTTACCCTTTTCTTGTAAGTGCCAGGGCTGTACAGGGTTAACTGATTCTGAAAGATACAATAATTGTGCTTGCTGTCTCCTAACTGAGCTCCTCAAGCCAAACAAGGAGGCTCAGAAAGACTCCTTGGCTCTGAAACACTGTGTCTTTGTGAGCTTGTCTTGTTCTGCTTTAAGGAAGAAAGTTACTTTTTATCTCCAGCTCCTTCTCTGGTCTCCCAGCTTCTATTTCAACAGAGTCACGGAGGATCTAATGAGCTTTTAGAGTGAGAAAGAGACAAGAGTTTGGGGAGAAGAAAGCCTGTGGGAGGTTGCTGAGAGCCATGTCACCAGGACTGTGGTTTCCTTGGAGGTTGTGGCTGGTAATTTTGGAGTACACTATGAAAAGAGCTGGAAAACTGCTCCCATTTGGTGCATTGCTACCCTTAAGATGTGGGACTATTCGTCTGGCTGTCTTGGTCAGCTATTCCCTCTTGTCAGTGGTCTGACAAGGGTTATCATAGAGGTTGGAAAGGACCACTAAAGCCATCTCATCCAACCATGAATTCATCACCTCCATGCCCTCTAAACATGTCCCTCAGTGCTTCTTCTTGAGCACCTCCAGGGATGGCGACTCCACCACCTCCCTGGGCAGCACAGGTGGATTCACACAGATGTGAGAGGCTGTGTGGAAAGGTGCCTGGAAGTTGATTACTTGGTTCTGGTTCAGTGTGGCAGAACTTGCTCCTACACTGTTAGGTCAGTGGTGTGGGACCAAGGCACTGGGATGAATGGCTTGGTGAGGCGAATGCTTTTTGCACCTCAAATTATTTGTCACTGGAAGAGCAGTGGCAGAAGGACTGGAGGAGAGCTCAGGCCAAAACAAATAAATAAAGGGCAGGAAAAAAATCCCATTTTTAAAGTTACACCTCCTGAGGGTTTCTTTATCTGGACACTGGCAAAATGATCCAATAACAAGGCAGATAATAAGAAGGAGGATATTTAAAGAAAGAGGATATTTAAAGAAAACCTCAGAAAATAGAATTAAGTGGTTTGGAAAACCCAAAATAACCATACTTTTTATTTAGTTATTTATTTTTAAAATGTGGGAAAGAAATGGGTTTGGGTTAACTTGTTTTTTTCCCTTAATTTGTTATTGGTCAAATAGTAAACCAAAGCCCAAACATTTGCTTTGTTCCACTCAGGAAATCTGGATTTAATTTTCTTTTCTGCTGAGGCTATTTTGTGAGACCTGGGGCAAATCACTTAGCTTCAGTTTACAATTAAGTGTAGCTACCATTATGATGTCAAAATATGAAATATTTTAAGATGCTTAGGTATTACTGCAGCGGGAGTGCTGACAGTTCTTAGACACCAGACTAGTCGTGTAATTTTGAAGCTGGATTCTCACTGCTCTTACAGCTTGAAATATTGCTAGGGGAGTTGGAGCTAAGCCTCTCTAGTCTAGGCTGAACCGTTTTGATTGGCAGGAATCTCATGCAAATATGTTCATCAGTTTGACCTGGCTTCCAAGTCTGAATGTTTTGAATTAAGAATTCAAATGTTTGGAATTAAGTTCCAAGACATGCTAGCAAATACTTCTAGAGGAATAGCAGGTGAAGATCTACCTGCAGTGCGGGTAGATGAGGCTATATTACACCTTTCATATCCTCTATCACTTCAAATTGTCTCTGAACTTCTAAACTCTGTCACTGCCTGGCCCTAGCACTGCAGGTGCACTGGTGGCACCTAGCCAGAATTGAGCAGTGCCCAAAGCCAGCTCACACAACTGCATCTCTTTCCTTTCAGTTGGTTTACCTACAGCAGTAACACATCTGGATGAGCCATAATACGAGATCTACTTGGAATTCAGGTTTTGTGATGCCTTGAAGCGCACCCTTGGCTAGAAATGAATGGAAACAAATGTTTTGCATTAGATATGGATCATAGTGTGTCTAATACCAATTACAAATTTAGGTACCAGAACAGTCCTAATGTTTAAAGAAATTGATGGTTCATGTTTGGAGTAGAGAGTGAAAAATAAAAGGTAATAAAGAGTGAAACAAAGCAAAAATCGTGATACTGATAACACATTCTTAGGCACTTAATTTCAAAGCCCTGAAGTCAGCCCACTTCCAGGGAGAAATGAAAACTGCTGAGCTGTCTGTACATTTTTGGTGTGGTGCAATGGCTGGTTGGGGTCACAGAACAAAGATCTTCAATGAATAACACGAAAGCTTCAGTTTGTACTGACCTCTCCTGAACTCTCTGTAGCCTTTTTTTTGACTTTGCTTACATCTGAGTGTTGGTTAGATTGAATAAAGCCATTATCCCATGAGACAGCACTAAAAATTACACTAGTTGAGCATCTAGGACATGCTATACTTGGCACAGAATCAGTTTGCTAAAAAGATACTACAAGAAATAGTGTCTGTGATATACCAAGTGATTCTGGATTTAAACTATAATGCTAGAAACACGTTTTTTGTCACCGAAAACTAGGAAACAGCTGTGCTTTCACATTATTACGAGGCATCACTCTTTTATCTTTTTTGTTTGTAAAATATGTTTGTCATCTTTCTTTTACTGCTGGTCCAGCACAGTTTGTATCTTAAGAAGCTCATACGTTAGAAATCAGTTTTATAGCACCGTGCAATTGAAAACTTGGCAGTCAGTACTATTTAAAGTGATTAATGACTGCAACAGAAATAGAGTTTTTCCCATCCTCAGAGTCTTCAGCTGGGAACAGTGTGGGCCTAGAAAATTTGATTTGAGCCCCAGTCCAGGTTATGTATGCAGGATTTATTGGGTACAATTGTGGTATGCTTTGTGTAGGAGGAAGGCTTAGGCCATTGACATCTGGTAAGGTGCTGGGAAACCCTGGAAGGCCATACAGGATCAAAGCAGGCTTCTGCAAAAGGCAATTCAGGCTGTAAAGGAAAAGCTTGCCACTAAAGCAAGTACTTTAGAAAGCTTTACTCATGAAAGAAAAGAATCACAGAATGGCTTAGGTAGGAAGAGGCCTTAAAGCTCCCATCACCTGCTTTGGGCAGGGTTGACACACAGCAAAACCAAGAAAGAACTGGTGCCTTGATTATTGTAAAGAGAACTGTAATCTCTTACCTGTTCTGGGGGCATTTCACCAGGTAATGCTTCACTGTTAAAGAAAAGAAAGAAAGAAAATGTGGCTTCCCACCAACACAGTTTATAAATTACAAATGGACAGTGCAGGTAGACCGGTGCTCCTGGGACTGCAGAGATGCCAAGTGGTCACAGTGGGAGAGCTGCCAATCAGCACCGTATATGGTGGATTAAAGTGCAGTCTGTCTCAAAGCTGTGTTTGGGAGAGGTAAATGTATCAAATAACAAGAACAATCTGCTGTGGAAGTACTGGGCAGCTCACATTCCAGTGGTCAGCCCATCCAAGAGACGGCTAGCTAAGGAAAAGCACAGCAGGCCAGTAATTTTACTTTGAAGACTTTTACTTCCCTTATGGTGCCTCTATTTATTTCCAGAAGCCCGAAATAAACCATTCAGCCACAGGAGCTGCTGCCATTCATAATGCAGGCTAAACTGCAGGCTCAGGCATACAGGGGTTGCCTCCTGAGATCAAATCAGAGACCAGCCAGAGCCACCTCTGACAGTAAATGTGTGTGAACTGCCTAAATCCTTCTGCTTAATACTGCTTTGAATCAGTAGTCCGGAGCAAGGGCAGCCTCCCTCCTGCAGCCTTTCAGGAGCCAGGGTTATTGAGATGCTCTTCTGTGGCTTTGTGGTTTCTGTGCTCTGCCCAAGCTGGGCCATGTGCTAAGCACGGAGAAAGGCAGGCAGGAGGAGAGCCTCTGGTTCTGCTGGTTAACTTGGGGCAACTTATTCCTCAGAAAGATGCACCCTGTGTAATGCAACAGATGCACACAAACACTCTTAATTTTCTCAATTCTTACCAAATTACGCTCTTCTGTACACAAAATTTTTCACATGTTCTTACCTCAATTGTCCTATCCTAAGGAAGCTGCATAGCCCCTTCTGGGCTGTATTTTAGACCTAAAGGAAAGGGGAACTGAGAGCACTGAGAACTGGGGCTAACACAGCAAAGCCAGGTCTCTGTGTCTAGGCTGGCTAAGGCTGGACTTCCATCTATCTCTGCTATCTTTTCCATGTGTACAGTTAGGACAGTAGGTCTGATCCATCAAGAGATACCATGCACACTGTTGGAATGCATTTGACAATTGCTAAGTATGCATGACTTTATTCTGCCCTAGAGCAAAAGCTCTCATCTTTTGATCCAAGGACTGTGAAGACCGGACTTCTACCAAAGCCCAAGGGCTGTCTGCCTGGGGTGGGGTTGGGGCAGGTGATCCTTCTTGTGGTGTTAGGACTAAGAAACTGGGAGGAACTTGCAGAGAAGGTGGGGGGAGAGTGGAGGGAACTGTAGGTGTGGTCATGCTTTGTTTCAGTTTTGTTCCCCTGACAGAGTGACTGGAGACAGTCAGAGAGAAGCCCCAACGGAAATATACCCAGCAGGTGGGGCAAGGAGGTAGTTTTGTTGTCCTGGGCCTCTGATATAGTTTTGAGGAAAACGGCAGAGCCAGGCTTCTCCTGAAAGAGGAGGAAGGTGATGGAAGCCATTGCTTCACCATATTGGAGGAAGATGGAGGTGCAGAGTGACAAGGATGGAAAGAAGGTAAGATAACACTTTTTGAGGAGAGATGCCTTTTTCTAACTGTCTGAATGAGACAGCACTGCTGCTTTAATTCCCAGCTGCTTAATGCTCTGGAAAATATCTGACCAGATAGCCTGGGGTAAAAGGATATATATACATATGTATGTATATATGTTGCATACTGAGTGTGTGTATATATATATATTTGCTATATATGTCAGTGTTGAATACTGAGTCCTTATCTGCTAAATTTTATTGTTACATTTCCATTGGAACCACAATTAATTCTGCTAGTGTTTTCTGGACAGTGCTCAAAATCTAAATAAATTTTGGTTGTGTGCTACTATTCAGATATTAGGGTGGTGATGAAAGAATTTAGTAGCTCAGAAGAAATTACTTTTTCTCTCTTGTACATACTTTTTGTACTCTATATTGCTTTTATATTTAGTTTCTGTTGGCTCATTGTGAAGAGAGATATTCTCCATGCTGCTCAATTCACTTACGCCAGAGTGAATAAACATAAGCAGAAACAAAATCTAGCCCAATGTTGGCTAGAGGAAAAAAAAAGATAAATCAGTGCTTGTGGCTGCAAGGTGACTCACCATGACCAAAACACTTAACTGTGGGTACTCCCTTGGCACAAAACCTTTGTCATCACTTAACAGGGTAGGAAGAATAACATTGATCTTATTTCTTCCTCTTTGGCAAGCACTATTGCTGGGTTCAAACAGAACTTGAGTTACACTACTGAGTGTACTACCGGGAAAACGGAGCTGCAGCCTGAAATACAGCTGTGGTCAGGCAAAAGCTTCTGTAGAAATCAATGTTCTGGTTTACGTGTCTTCTCCCTCGTGTATCTGAGTCACATATTCCTCTGTGGTACGTGTGATATGCTGAAGAAGCAACGAGTCGTGATTCTCTCCTGTCATTAACAGGACTAATCACTAACCAAACTCTTTTTTTTTCAAAGCTTCTGTTTGGAAATGGCCCTTTGTTCTTTCAATTCTGCCAGTGTGAGGTCTCTAGAACATACCATTCTTAAACAGAAATGAAAGCAGAGCTGCCACTGGTTACTCTGCGGATCTAAAGTAGTAGCAATTCTGATTCTAACAGGGCTGCTTTCAGGCAGGCTTAGCCTCTTTAAAAAACTGTCTCTGGGGTAAAGAATGAAACAGTAGTCCTTCATCTTGAAAGACTATAGTAAGAATGCACATCTGAATAACAAAATGATACTTTAGCTTCTAAGCACACTACAAATGAGTGCTAATAACAACCCTCATTTTCCCAAGTATGTTGACAGCCAGACAGGTAGAAAGAAACAAAAGAAAACCTCTAAACATGTCCGCAGAAACGCCATTTCTTCACAATTTTAGCTAGAACTTGTCAAAATGCAATTGAATAGTGCAGCACTTAGTCTCCTTTGAAGGAAGTCCTAACAACCTCCAGTTCATGTTTATGAAAAGTGGAAAGGTTTTGGAAAGTCCAATTCAAATTTAAAGTGAAATAGCTATTCAAAGGGAGCAAAATGCCTTTGTTCTAATTAACCCGTGGAGGAATCCAATTTTTTTCTGACAGTAATAAAGTGGTCTTTCCTACCTACGTACATGTACGTATATATATATACATACGTACGTACGTAGGAAAGACCACTTTATTATATATACAGCTTTCATTTAAATTCAAAGTAAGGAAATATTTTCCTTTCCTGCATTTTCTCCACTCTCCTTTTCCCCTCTACCTCTTTGGTATGGGTTTTGCAGCCAGCAAGGAAGGACACTTCACTCACCTGTGCATCTCCTCTTGTTCAGAAGTGACTGACAGAGAATGACGAGTGTAAAAAGGAGAACACTGATGATTCCTATTGAGCACACAAACACTGCATACACATACAGATCTGAAAGGCAAGCACAGGGGAGGCTCAGTGCTGCAGCTGTATGTTTCATGCTTACAAGACAAAAAATGTTATGTCAACAAGACTGAAATAGAGCATGGTCTGAAAGAATTAGGGTAACTGTTCAGAAGTAATTAACTCTCCTGAAATTTTTCATACAGTATCCTGCTCAGTTTAAAATTTGGATGAAGTCTCCACGAATAGTAATAGGTGTGTTTATGAGGGCTTGCTTTTAGGAAGGAGAAAGCTGGTTTGGTTTCTTTGTTTGTTTAATTTTCTTGTTGTAGTGGTGGTGGTTTGGTTTTGTTTCGGTTTTGGTGGGGCTAACAAAAAACAGAACAACTTCAGCTGGATTATTTCCCAGTTTAAACAGCTGTACTGATTTAAAAATAAAAAAAGAGAAAATACTGTTTAAAAGTGGCACTAGGGAGAGATGTGGGAGTGCTGAGTGAGGAAGAAGGAAGGAAGGAAGTCTGCAATTGTTTTTTCGGTTGCAGTACTGGCTTGAAATTGTTATCTATATGTTTTCTTGATTTTTCAATCTACAGCATCAGACTCCCTTTATGTCTTTCAGTCATTTTCCATAGCACATTCTCATCTGAGGGGTCAGGAGTTCTACCATGGCAGATCAAGACAGAGTATTTTGTTCAGAAGCAGAAGGCTTTGATGACTTATTCTGCTTTTACTAGAATTCTAAATAGCACACTTCAAGGATGCTCTAGCCATTAATGTCTTCAAACTTTGCCCTTAGTGAAATATATTGGCTTCTTTCCTGCTTTACAGAGAGGAAACCAAGCCTGAGGTCAAGTGTTCTTGCAGAAAATAGCACTGCTGGAACAAGACCCCCTGACCTGCAGCTCTGTGTTTCGTTTTCAGCCTATCCCCCATACACAGAACAATAGTGTCTATAAGTTGTGGTTTAAACAGCAAGGCTCCCCACAGAATGGTGTGAGCAGAGACTGGTGTGCAGCAGAGCAGCATGGCTGTGAATACTGGGCTGCTGCTTCTCTGGTGTTGGCGGGGAGAGGAGAAGAAGGAGAAGGAGGAGGGAATCCCAGCTGAGAGTACATTCTGGATTTCCATATATCTTGGAGCAGATGTTCCATAATCTAAAGAGAAAATACTGCTTGCCTTGAAACTCCAGGGAGCTTTACGGTGCTCTCACAATACAGAGAAGCATTTCTAAGGCCAGTGGGAACACACAGTGCTGAGTATCTCTTCAGACATGTCCAGCACTGCTCTGAGTAAGGGTCTGCATTTGTATTTCATAATCAGCCAGGCATAGAGTATTCCAGCATTGACTGTAATAAACGTATAAGGAACTGGAACCTTCTACTCTCATTTTTCTAGCAGCTGGTACTCTTTGGGTTACTTTCTGAGGCACAGCCTGAGTTTGTACAGTGTGCAAAATCAGGCCCAATGGGGGCACTTCAGCTGTACTGCAGTGTTGGGCCAAGCTAACATCTTGTATGCAACCAGCAGCAGTTAGATGCATCTTTACCTTCGAAAAACTTCCAAGCTTCATGTTTTTTCTTGTAAGTGGGATCATCAGAAGTTTTTGATGAAATCACTGGAAAAAAGAAAAAACAAAAACAGAGGACATAAGAACTAAAAATACAGAGCATAAAGTGTTGGGATTACTTGGAGTAAAGTTTGTTTTGCCTCACACGTCAGTGCACCAAGATAGTAATTTAACTCACAGGATAATTAACTTTCAATGAAACATTTCAATTATAAAATAGTGTTATTGAAATATCTCTATCAAATCTCATCTGGTTTGGAAGCCTCAACGAGGGCTACATGGCTTGTGAGATGGGATTCCTTCTGTCATCTTATGCTGCAAAGATGCAGCATGTGGCTCTTCAATCAGAAGTTAAATGCAGTGAAGGGGAAAGAAACACAGCTTTAAAGAGCCTAGATTTTAGAACAATGGTGGCTACAGGCTTGTAAGATCTGTAATGGCTTTGTGAGGATGGCCTGAGTATGCCAGGGAAGAAGCTGCCATTAAAATCGTATGTGGCTATTTTTATTCCCACTCTTTGTTCTCAGTTACCCAGAACTACTACCTCTAGGGCTATAATTTGTGTGTCCATCCCAAAACAGGCTACTTCTCAGAAAGGAGTTGAACAATTTTTGTTTAAAAGAGTAGGAATTTATTTTATTTAAGAAAGCTTCCTAATGCTTTAGTCCATCTCTAAAAGGAAAAACAAAAACAAACCGGAAGAGTGACAGCTTTACTGAAGGACACAGCACTGAATACTTCCTGAGTACTGACTTCTAGCAAGGCACGTTAGGCATAGGTTTTTTTTAAAAAAACAGGGAAGTCACTCTGACAATGCTTGGCACTGAAGTGATCTCTGCAAACACAGTAGTGATTTTCCAGCCTCAGGAATGACTTTCCAGGCCCTTGATTTTGTCCAGCTTCCTTATTTCTACAGCTCTTGTGGATGTCCTTTGACTGTCTCTTCCCCGCAATTCCTACAACAGCACCCAAATAATCCATCAAAGTGAGAGTGCTGCTTGTGAGTTCCTTCTTTTCCTGCTTCATTCAAAATTGGCTTCTGTGTCCTACCTTTTAGAGATACGCAGGTAGGACACTTGCGTATCTGAGCTGGGAAGCAGAACACTTCTTATGCTCAGTGTTCTTGGCTTAGCAGCAGAAACAGACTAGGTTAAACACTCTAACTATATAAAGGGCTCTGTCACTGCCACATCAAAGACCATTGCCTGCTGAGAGCAAAATAGTTTATGTTCTTCTCTGTAGAAATTCCTGTGCCTATGTTGTAGGGTTTTCCTGACACATGAGAAGAAAGTTTGCATGCACACAAGTCATACTAACTCACTTTTATAGCTTAGAGAAAGGACTGACTGAATGGCTATGTTCTAATATGGGTAACAGGGAAAACGGCAACAGGTTCTGCACAGACTTGTCCTCTCTGAAAGAGAAGCAGACTGCAGAGCTCTAGGCAAATGGATAAATGTCAGTCTCATAACAACTGTACAACCCAGTTCTAGAATCCAAATGCTCTGACTGCTGATCACTGTCCAAACCCCTCTCTGCTCTCTTCAGCCATGTTTACGCATGCTGACTTTTTTTATGACATCAGATTAGATGATCTCATGTTAATCCATGAATTCTTCTGCTATTCATCCTTCTAATACAATAGGAATATGGTGATGTCCTTCAGGTTGCATCCAAGAGCAGTTTGCAGGGTAGATCTACAGAAAAGTATCCTACTGGAAAGGAAGTTAATTAAGGTGTGTCCTGCAGGGTTGGGATGTGTGGGGCCAACTCAGTGAATATGGAACTACTTTCAGGTCTGATGAAATCTACTGTTTAGTTATGATGGGAAGCTCATCCAGAATATTTATTTTACATGTCTACTCAGCATCACATCAGTAGATTTTTGGCAAGCGTTTTAGAATATATTCACTGGAAAATGGACTTATGTTCATTTTTTGGGGGAAAAAAAAAAGTCTTGCATTCTTTTATTTTGCAACATTTTTACTTGGAGAAAGCATCACAAGCTACTAATATTCAAAAGAATTCAGGATCTGTCCTATAGGAAACTCATACACAAACTTTCCAACCAGACAGATTGTTGTGATCAACTCTTCTTGTTTGTGTTGTGCATGCCAACAGGATTTTAGTTGAACTGTCTAATTTTCTACTTGTCCTCCTACAATCTCATCTCTTGGATCATAAACCACTTGGAATACATACTGCTTTTCCTAAGCCGTGTGCAGAACTTGGTACAATGTACTTGAGGGATTACCCGACTGTAAATGACAGAGGGTGCTGCATATTGTTCTGAAGGCTACTCAGTGTTCTGAGATTTCTCATAGGAAGGTATTTACAATGGCATTTTTTCCTCAAATAAACTCCTTTTTTTTTTTTTTTTTTTGTGTGTGTGTGTGTGTGTGTGTGTGTGTGTTTTCTGTACTACAATGAAGATTATTAACTTGTTTTCAGGCTAATATTGACCAGACAAGACCAGGAAAAGAACAGATGCCCCTAATGAGAAGATGGGCAAAGGGGAAAAGGTCCACCATAGTTTAGATTTAATATGTTGCATGGCTGGAGTAGGAGACACTTCTTGGTAATGTGAGGATGTGGATTTCTGTGGGGTTTACTACCAGGATTTAATAGTTAATTTACGTAAATTGTTTGCTATCTTATTGTACCTAAAGGGGCAAATTTAAATGAGGTATCTTTTCTGAAAACTGTATTCAGGTCCTGAAGAAGAAAGTAGATATGTAACTTGTATTTTAACTGCCACCACTAAACAATAAGGAGCTATATAGCCTGTAACTCAACTTTTTTCTTCAGAACTCCAATGTGTTTGTCCACAAAGAACTGTGTTGCAAGAAAATACATTTGCAACTTCTTTATGTACTTACACAAATTCACACTAGCAAGCTTACTAGCAAATAGCAAAATCTGCATATGAATTAACAGCATTAGATACTACAGTCCCAGGCTTAATCTGTCAAGTTATTTTACTTGGGATGGTGCTATGCTTTGTGATAAAGGCTACATGATGAACTGCCCTGGGCTTTTTCTGCTTCTGAAGATGCAGAAAGACTCTTCCTTCTGTGTTCCCCCTGCAATTTTCTGTCTTATGCAGTGATGTCTTCTTCCTCTGTGAACCAAGTGAGCAATATAAATGTTATTTCTTTGTCCACTTGATGTGCAAGCTTGTCCGAAATTTAAAGGTGCTTTAGCAAAAAGATGTCATATTGAATTAGTGCATAATACAGCCACATTAAATGGAACAGAATGGTAGAAAAGAAAGCACCTGTAATGTCTTTGAACACTGTTACCTTTGTTGATACAGACAAGCAGTGCAATTGAAGTATCCAAGTGCTTTAGGCAATTTGTATTGCTCCTTTTGCTCTATCTTGGGTCTAGATGTAATATAACTAAATCCCTTTGCAATAAAAAGTGTAACTGATTATAATATAAAATACAAAATGTGTTTGGAAGAAAATTTCCCTGAAAACTTCAAGTGCTACCACTGGGGAAACTGGAGATTTTATCACCACTCTGAAAAGTGTTGCCTTCCCTCCTGTGTGTAGCAAATCCTGTACGACCAGTGTGTTATCTGAATATTAGGACCCAAAGGTCCCCGTTCCTACCAGTTCCTTCATGACAGTGGTTGAATCTCTCATTTTAGCCAAATATGGAGGGGTAAAAGAGGAAGAGAGAGAGAGAGAGAGAGGAGGATGAGGAGGAGTGTCAGTTCCTAGGCAAGAGCAGGAGCAGCAGGGAAGAATAACTGCTGAGTGATAAGCAAGCTAATGCCTGAAGTCTGTACAGCTAAATCACACATACAATAAAGTTTAATTTCATATCCCTACGTAGTTGTGAGACTAACAACTGTGCCTTGGCTCCAGCCACCCAACATGGGGTCAGTGCCTGTGAAATTTAATGATCTCCAGCAATTCAATACGGCTGAGCTCAAGAGATGCTGGGCTCCAGAATTTTTACTCCTCTCCACTTAAAAACAAAAGTGTGAAAGCAACAACAGAAATCAAACATGAAACTGGTCATTCTTTCAACTGTGAAGTTAATGAATCCTCTGTGAAGTTAATGTATCCTTTGTCCCGTCTCCTAATGACTCCTCCCTCCACTATAACCTTAGTATTCGGCACTTTCTCCTGTGCTATGTCAAGAAGCCCAGGTCACTGACATGGAGGGTCCCTGTTCTCTGCAAGTCAAGAACAAGTTACTTGTTTTGCACTTGGAAGTTTCCTTCAATGAAGGAAAAGTTCTGCAGACCCAGTAACAAAATTAGTTTAGTTTTTTGTTGTTGTTGTTTAAAATTGATCCACAGTCTTTGTTACTAAAATAAAGTTTCAGCTTTGGATTCTTAGTGTCTTTCATCACCACTAAAATCAACATAAAAAATCAACTAATTATGTTATGTTAATGCCATGATTCCTTAAGGCAGATTGAAACGTTGCTGATCAAAGTGAAGACAGTGTTTATCTCTTGTTTTTCACACTGTTTCTCTTGTCCTTCCCATAGATTATAAATCCTACGATACCTGAGCGCTATCCACAGGAGATCACACACTCATAAAGATTATTTTTTACTGTTTCACTTGTCCTCCTGCTGTGTGTATAATCCAAAACAGGATAGAGAAACACGAATGATGGCAATGAAGTTGGTACAGAGGAAATGTGCTTTGAATTTAGTCTACCAGTGTATACTCTACATAAATGTGCTTGAATCTGTCTGGAAAAGCCTGTCCTTAGTGGGGTTCTCTCAAAGAAAAATTGTTTTCAGAGGAGAGTTAGGGCTGTTTTCTCCAAAGCATTAGTTAGATAAATGGGATTAGGTTTTCTCAGTTACAGGAATAATGTGTGGTTAAAACACAGCAGTAAACTTAGCATCAGCATTAGCAGCATAAACTTCACGAAGCGCTATCTTCTCCTACAAGTTTTTCTCTGATTGCTCAATTAACCTCTTGAATATCCAGACCAATGGACCAAGCAGTCCCACTTGATTTTTAGTGTTATTTTCAGAGCTGGCTCTGTGTGAAATCGGCTTTTCTGTCTGTAAAACCACAAGAGAGGGCTTGTTTTCCAGCTAGCCCTAACAACACAACTGCTGACTCTTCAAAGGAGTCTGTTCTTCAACATCTAGTTTCACCCATCTCTGAAAGCTCAGATCTGGTCTTGTTAGGTTTGAGATCACCCACCCCAAATAGAAGGCCTGTTTTCAAGTTGAGATTGATAGTTCAAAATCCTCAGTTGTTGCTGGCCATAACTTTACCTGAAGTTCAATACAAACAGGCTGGTTACTTTTCTTCTAGCTGTTTTCTGTCTATAAATGGCATAATGATGCTAGAAATGCTACTTGCAAACTGCTTCTAGACTAGAACTAAATGCAATGAACATACCAAGAGGGACAAAACATAGACCTAAAATACACAGCTTCTATCTCTGGCTGACTCCCTGTGTATTCATTTGAAAATAAGTTAATTTCTCTCTATTTTATTTTGTATTTAAATAATAATGAGAGTTGTTCATTCCCACTTGCAAAGTTATAGAGACCTGTAGATGAGTGTAAAAGAGTTTGAATTGCTGCTGTTTTGGCAAAAGGCAAGGGAAATAAACTGTTTTCAACTAATCTCACCTCTTTACTTTCTACTACAGGTTGAATAATATTTAAATTATTATGTGCAAGTAAAGAAGCAGAGTATTTGATTTTTCTTCTCATAGTCACAGATAACACTAAAAAATCACTTCAAATGTCTTATGGGTGAACTTGATAGAGAGGAAGGAAGGGATCATGGGACAAGGAAAACTGTAGAACTGTAATTGATGATTTCTCACCTCTTATTTCAGTAGCTGCCGTACCATTTGACCAGGCTGTCCACTTATTCCTGTGTTTTCCAATTTCCTGAACTTTACATATATAATGTCCTTGATCTGTTTGTTGGAGGCTTAGAATAAGAAATTTGTACATAGTTCCATGTTTTTCTTTAAGAAGACGAAGTCTTTGCTTGTGGAAATGATGAGTATAATTCCCATAATACTGGACAGACCCAAATTTGGTCATTTTGATCATCAAATACTCCTGAGTGGGTGACACAGCAAAGACCCACCGCACAGCCAGCAAATTGTCCATCTTTCTCTTTTGAGAAATGTGGCAGTAAAGGGTAGCATTATCTCCCTCGGAGTACCGCACTGTTGGTCCTGGAGACACTGTCACATTTAAAGCCTCACAAACATCTGCAAAGGAAAAAGAGAGTGAGAATCCCATGGAGGCAGAGCAGCACCATAATCTCTCTCAGCACACAAGTCCACAGCAGGTAAACAGACAGCATCATCAGTTCAGTGTGCAGCAACTCGGTGAGCTTCTAGAATCTGATGTATTCTGAGAGATGGCAAGAGGACCTCCTTCAGTGAGTCTGCTCCAATATTCTTATGTTCGCTAATGAGATAGGGCTGAAGTAGACACTTTGGTGCTTTTACAGGCTTCCAATCACCCAAGGCTTTAGACAAGCCTTGTCTGAAGCTAGCTTGGAGCAAGAGCCCATAATATCCTTTGGCAAGCTGTTCCATGACCAGCTCTTCTGGCAACATGCATCCTGCTGAGAATTTCCAAGCTAATTTGTTTTAATAGCCAGTTTATGTTCCTGTGCCTACTTTGTCTTTTAAGTTTAAATGCCATTTACTTCTGGACTCTAAATATCTAGTCTCTCAGCCTTCACTTTGTTGAACTAAAGAAGCAGAGTTCTGCTCTTATAAAGAAATGTTTCCCTTCCCTATCCACTTCCCTATTGAATTAGTAACTTTCTGTGCACTGGTTCCAGTTTCAATTTTGGTTTTATTGTGACGTTCTTGTTGCTGTTGTTACTCTCTAATGTTCTGTGAAATAGCCAGTGTACACCCCAGGTGATTAGAAATACCTTGCACGTGTATCTCAGAACAATGTTGACCTTTTTCATTATATTTTGAGATTATTTGATGGTTTATATTGAGGCACAATAGAATGTTTTCCTTCCTTTGTCATTTGTGGTTCAGTTCCCAGTTTATCCAAGAAATTCCCCAACTGCATGACTTATCTTACTAAGTTCTGCTCCACTTTTGTTTCTTGTTCCTCAGTCTTACCTACATGTTACTCCAATCATCCAATCACTTGATAAAGTCACAAGCAATGTCTACTTGTTTCTTTCTTTTGGACGTTATTTGTGCAGACTTTACACAAACTGTTTCCTAGATGGGTCACTGAAAGACTAGTAACCTCCCTATATGTCAGTAAGTTCTCATATATGAGTAACTCCTCTCTTTAGAGTTCCTTATGTCCTCTGTTTTAACTAGTACTCTTCTTGTCATAACCTAATGATCATCTGGATTAAATTTTTCAGATCTCCTTCTGACTGCAAATTTGATTTAATGACATTACTTGCATGACAAAATGTGACATGTGGTTATATTGAGACAGACAGTTGTTCCATTTTCCCATTAATTTCTGACTCATGTTCTTCTGTTTGTCATCACGAGCCTAGCTCAGACCAGTTATTTGTTCTCCCCTTTCTTTCTACCAATAGTCAACATAGGTGAGGGTTAAAAGATGTCCATAGCTGTTCATTAGCAGATTTTTATTTCCTGACCTTACTTATTCATGCTTAACCTCTTTTCTGAGGCATGGGATTAAACACTCATTCTGTTTCCTTCTCAATGTATGTTGAGAATGTATGTCTATTAGTCACATCTCAGACTGATCTATTTTTTACCAGTGGTATATTGTGGCATTGTGTTCCCTAAATTATTTTTCTGATGGCATCCACTAGAGAGAAAAAACATTTTAACAGGAAGCAAGCACTCCATGCAGTACACTCTTAGAAGCATGAAACATCCTCTAAGATATGAACATTAAGCTTCCAGTTATGTACTGAAATGCTAATGAGAATTGCAACCCTGGGAGATGGATTTTTTTAATTTCTGGACACTTTGCTAGCACATCAGCTAGGAACATTTTAACAAAGGGGATGAGCATTTTGGCAGACTCCTGGTTGACATCAGCTCCTGAAACACAAACATGTATTTATCCTCAAGATAAGTAAGTATTTCCATCTACTTCTGAAAGAGCATTGGAGGCATAGACTTTGTGGCCCCCGAGAAGCTGTGAGATGCAGTGATTAAATGTATCAATTTACTTAAATCCTCTGAATTAAAAAAGTTATGTTGTGACTGTTTGAGAAAAGAACCCTCTGAAAGTTCATAGTATTATTCTTTGGGGTTGTTTGTTTTAATAGAAAGCATTGCTGATTGGTGTATTTTTTAAGATAGATGCTGCAGAATAGGCATCTTAACCATGTAGACTCTGTGAAAGAAAAAAAGTTGTATGATGAAAGTTGTATGTTATTTTTTAAACTTCTTTAAGAAAAAGAAAGCTAAGCATGATTTAAATTACTGTTACAACTATCTGTGCGTGAAGTTTGTGTGTGCAATTAATGTGAGCTCCAAATCAAGAGATAATTTATACAAAGCACACAGGAAAAACAGGATGTTGAACTTTAAAATGAAGTCTGAATACCACCACAGATTTCCAGGCATAAACCTTCACTTATTGCATGCTGGAGTTACAGGACCTCGGTGCTTTGCAGGCAGAAGTGAAAATAAGGTGGCTGCCTCTGCCATCAAAATGACATTCCATTTTTGAAGATTGTGCTGCTCAGGAAACAAGAAACAAGTTCAGAAATATAGAATTTTTTGAAGTTGCTTATAATTGTGCTACAAAAGTTTCAGAAATCGATTATAAAAATGTGGTTTGGGTAAATGCAAAACACAAGATTTTTCTACTGAAATTATGGATGTGTCATGAAAAACTGTAAAGGAAAACAATTATGTCACTTTCCTGATATGTGAACTTCTTGTTTGAAAAAGCTGGCTAGGATTAATTGTAGAATACTATCCCTAAATAAAAAGCAAAAGAATCATTGCTTAATTTGAAACTAGGCAGAACACACTGCCAAAAAGTACTCCAGAGAAAATACAGAGGAATTCAGATATAGTGATGATGGAAGCCTCTGCGAGAAGATAAAGAAGCATTGTATGTGGCATCTCTGATCCCTTTCTAGCTGTTTACACTCACACAAACATTGGTATTTGATACACAGGGCTTCTACTTTTCCTCAGGAGATGTGCCCTTTTGTGAGGAAGTATCAAATTTTACATCTTTCATGTAGCAAAGCTCATCTGCTTCAAAGGCCAATTGCTTGAAGGGGAAACATATCTTTCTTCTGCAGCTATTGGTGTAGCAAAGGGAAGAGCTTTCAAAATTTCTGATGCTTTCTCTGTGACCTCTTCTCATTTTACATTGAGCAGGGTCAGGTGATGCTTTATACAAAACAGGAAAACGATCCATTGGACTCTATCCTCCCCCATTGGAGGTGGAACAGTGGTGGATGGTTGGAGGAAAGAGGTCATTTACCTCTCATGTGGAAAGGAAAAGCCTTGTTCAGTGCTCCCACGCACTTGTGGAAGTTTGTTCTGTCTTTAACTACTGCTGAATCAGCCCCAACATGAGGTTTGTCCTAGTAGTGGCTTCTGTGCCAAGACAGGAGACTCCTCCACCACTTGAGAGCAGGCTTCTGTGCCAACGCAGCACTCACTTCCTAGACTTCAGATTCCTGCTCTGAGTGAGGAATCACTGTCTTTCTTTTTCTGCCTTCCCAGTATAGCATGAGTTTAGTCCTATTTCTACTTTAGAAGGGAAACTATTTATAGAAAAGGGAAGGAGAGTGGGTCAAACCTTGAGGATTCCTTTGCATATGTCTCTCCCATCAGCAACCAGTTCACTTACTTGCCAACATCCCAGTGTTTTAGCTGTTTCTTTGGTACCTTCCACCTGCTTGTCTCACCACAGTCACAGAAGTGTAGCACTGTAACTTAAATCCCGTTCTGAAAAACCCTATTCTGAAAGTATCAGCTAGGTTTGGACTGCCATAAATCTGCCATATTTCTTAGCAAAATACATTCACGGCACTGTCAGGAGTAAGGAGCTACCAGTTTAGCAGCTAGAAACCTGTACATGCCAGGGCTGTCCCCACAGTCTGTGCTGGAACAGCAGCAGGCCAGCAGTCATGGTGGATGCATGCTTGCTGGAAAAAAACTCAGCTCCCTCATTAGAGATGCTCATGTGAGTGGGGTTGTTCCTGGACACTACTGCACCCTAACTGGATTTAGCATTATTAGCGTTATATAGGTCCCTCCTCCTACTCTTTTTTCCATGGACACTGACAGGAAGAATCTACAGCCCAGCCTTCAGGGCCATGAGGGCTTTTTCCTCAGCCCCTGCTGATATGTAGGGGACTACAGAGGCCTGCCATCAGGGTAGCTGCCTTCTCGTCTTGGATTTGTGTAACCAGAGGCAGGTGGGGTGGCTTCTATTTGCCCTTCTGTTTGTTCTGTGAAGTGATATTACTGTCAAAGCTTGCTTTATTTTGGTTTCTATTAAACAGTAAGAGCAGATGAGCCAGGAAGAAGCAAAGCTCTTTGTTTAAATGAAAATAATTAGAAGATCACCAAAAGCAAACAGCTGTTTTCAGTTGAACGACTGCATCTGCAAGTTTCTCAAGTCAGAGGCTCCTTCTCTCACAGTGCTTCTGCAGTGAACTTGTACTGAACCTTTGCCTCTGTCATCTTCTGTCCAAAGCAGAAATTCTAAATCCAGCTCTTATCACTACTGAATGAGTAAGACTTCCTCACCCTCCTCATCCCCACTGTGCCCTGAAGTTCTGATCCAGAATCTTGTCCATTTTTACAGCTTCAGAACACAACCTTAGCCAAGACACGTTAGATTTTGGAAGCATAAAGCTTGAGCAGAGGGTTGTTTTTAATAACAAGAGATCTGGGAGTTCTATTCCTCTTTGCCTCAACTTTGTTTGCAGTTGTACGAATGCTGTCCCGCCTGACAAAGGAGGCGGTGGAGAAAGCTTTTTCAGCAGCTGCCGTACAGGCGAGGAGTTTCGCTCTGAACCCACGGCTGCGGGCGCTGCTGCCGCGGCGATGCGGGAGCAGAGGAGGGGGGCGGCGGGTCCCTTCCTTTCCCTCTGTGCCCAGCCGGCCGCCGTGCCGTGCCGGGCTCCTGCCTGCTCCCCCAGACCGGGCGCTGCCCAGACCCTTCCCGGACCCCGCGGCGTCGGGGTCCCGCAGCGGCCGGAGGGAGGGGCTGCTGGCGCTGCCGCTTACCTGGGGCCGGGGCCGAGGCCAGCAGGGCGGCCAGCGCCGTGGCCAGGAGACGCATGGCCCGCAGGGCGCCGGGTCCCGTCCCTTCCCTCTCCGCCGAGCTGGCTGCCTCCTCTCCTCCCCGGCCTCTCGCCTCCTCCCCGGCTGATCCTCCCTTCTCCCCTTGTCTTTCATCTCCTCCCCTTTCTCCTCCTTTTTTTCCGCTTTCTCCCTACCCTCCCTACTTGTTTGCTCTTCCCACCGTCCGGCCCCCTCCGGAACTCCCCTCCTCTTTTCCTTCCTTTTCTTCCTTTTCTTCTTCCCTTTTCCTTCCTACGTCCCAAGCCCGCTGGGATGGCAAAGTATTAGTTGGGGCTGGGTGCTGCTCTGTCTGCAGGCTTGGCAGTCCCTCCAAGCATGCACAACCTGCCCAAAGGATATGGATCTGTGCAGACAGCAAGTGGGATGCTCCCCTTTCCACGCACAGAAAGCCTTTTTGTGAACAAGTGAGAGAACTTGTCATGGGACAGGGACAGCATCCTCCACTTTCCTGGAGGTGTCTGAAATTTTGCAGGCTCTGAATTGTGGAGAATTTTGCATTCTTCATGCCCACTGATCTGCTGGAGCAGGACTGTTGTTTCCAAGAGATTCCAGTTAACAGCCAACCCCCATTTCAGGGGCCTTGCTGGTGACAGACTGGGGATGAGGAATTGCCTTCAACAGGTATGGGTGGGGATGGAGGCAGTTTGCACACCTGTGCTGCGACATCACAACTGGTGCTCTAGTGATGCAGCAGCTTGAGGTACATCACTCCAAGAGTACCATGCTTATTTTGCCAAATGGTGCAACGTTCTAGGCAATAAGGAACCATTCAACCTAACTCCTTTGTGAAGATACTCCAAAGGCACTGACCAAATGCATTTCTGGGCTCCTCTACAAAGTTATCACCACCTATAGCTATTTGGTAGCTCTGTTCCAGTCCATACAGCGATAACTCTGGTGGAAAGGGATGTTTTCTTGCCTCAGCCTATGTGCAGTCTAATAATCCATCCTGAACCTCAGTGAGGATGGCGTTCACAGTGAATGAGGCTTTGGTGATACCATAGTCTCGTAAAGACCTGAAAACAAGAAGAAAAGTGTTTGCTAAAGGTTGCTGGTCACCACCCTGACTGGTATCAGAGGGCAGGAGTTTACTGAACTTTTTTTTGCTGGAAAGGTCTGTCCAGAATATGTCCCAAAGAAGGCAGAAAGTGAGGGCTGAAGTTCTGCATCATTTGGAGGAGTTGGTTTGGTGCATTTGACACTGTTTTCCAGCTGCTTTCTGTGTGAGGAAGGCTTTAGTTGTACTAAGGGGCTGTAAACTGAAGAGTTCTGGGTCTCTTAATAGAGAGACTGAAATGGCACTCTGTTAGGGAAGCTTGTACCTGGCAGCCTCCCCCTGCCATTCCCCTTTGTCTCTTTTGATGATTATCATTTGAAAATCCACAAATCTCCAGAGACAGGGACTTAATTCTTCTATCAACAGCCATGATGGATCGTATCTGGTTTTAGTATTCATCTTGTGTGAATTGTGGATGATACAAACATACTGGCAGTCCTACTTGCATGGATAGGGCAATTAATAAGAATTTAGTTGCTCCACCCCTCTCCTAGAAATCCCTGAGGCACAATAGTAGTCTGCTTTTATGCTCACAGAAAAATCAGCACATGCTTCATCTGATCCTTACGAGGCTGAACATTTCCTTTAGTAGGTGTGGAAGGAGGGATCTGTAGGTTCAAATCTACTCCTTTAACTCAGAAAAGGAAAATCCTATCAAAGAGAGAAACTAATTCAAAAAGAAGTGGCAAATTCACAAAAAGCTGCACCAGCAGTTACTTATTTTGATGGTCTTAATGGCAGATCTAGCTGTGGACATCCCTGGAATGCCGACTGAAAGGTGAAGTAGGGATGACTGATTTTCCATACTCTTTACCAAAGCATTTGCTGTATGCCCTCGTTGCAAGAAAATTACTGGCATGAATGGGCTTTCTAGCACTTCTTATATCGTTCTGCTTGTTGTGCCTCACCACATATCATAAATTCATTCAGTCTACAAATCTTTTAAGGATGTATACAAAATACTGATGTAAAGATACCAACAAGGTATACCTAAGCTCTCCCACGGTACCTGAGCCTAGGTAGTCTATAAGTGCACTGTGAGAATCAGCCTCAATCAATATCTGTCTCTTTGCAACCACCCATTATCAGTGGCGCTAAATTCTTCTAATTGCATCAAGAACCCTAATGAGCTGTGGGATGAGCTGGATCAATCAGTGGGTGAGAAGACTTACTGTGATGTGTTTGCCTGTGGTTTAACATAGGCAGAAGTTAGAGGCCCACCTGGGCTTTTCCAGTCTTATGTGCCTGCGAGCTCACTGAAATGTGTTCCCTCTGTTTTGCAGCTTGCAATCTCTAGATGTGTGTTGTGGTATTTCTGTATTGAGTAGGTTTAGTTGGTTTCTCCTCCTCTGAAACGCTTTTGTTAATATAGCAGCTTGATAAGTGCTCCTTATTCTTAAAGAGGTGTTTCTTTTAAATTTCTGAAAGCATTTTTAGAAGTGGTTCAAGTTGAAATTCTTTTGTACTTGTCATGACAAAAATAAACACAGGTAATGCTGACATTGTCTGTCTTTTACCAAGAATGAGCTTTGCTCAACTGGAAGCAGGACCCGTGAGCCTCTCTGTTGCCACTGATCTGCATTTCAGATGCATTTGTTGGGCAATACAGCACTTTACATACTTAATAAGCCTATTACCACTGTTTTTGGATGTACTTCTGGGCAAGACAGCACTAGTCAGGCTGGCAAATAATAAGGAAACACAGACCATTGCCCCCACCATCTTCTCGGATTTGCTGCTGACTTCTGGGATGCTTTGACTCAAGTTGGCCCCAACTCTAGGCTGCAGCTGGGTGATCTGTAAACTTCTTCTGACTGGACTGGAAGGGGCTGTGAAGGGACTGTAAATACTTCAGGAACTCGGATGAAAGGCTGCAACTGTACGGTTTGCATTATTTCACTGCTAAAGTCTTTCACTCCTTCAACCCATTATGCTGCATTATAAAACTTACTCTTCTGCTTTTATAAAATGTTTTCTCCAGATTGTCCATGCTGCTGACCTGATAGGGTCACAATCTGTGCACCAGAGATCTCAGAGGCCTCAGGAGCCTGCAGTGCAATTCTTGCAGGGCTGCGTCAGCCCATGCACCTTCCCAGCTCTGCAAGACATGTGCTGACACAGGCGAGCAGGGCCTCTGCCGCACAGGATACTGCTTCCTCAGCTCTGGCAGCAGTGATGCAGCCCAGTTTCCTGTCAGGACAGGCCTGCTGGGAGGGGGAAAAGAGCCTGCTCAGCACTCTGGAGCAGCTGACACAGGTCAGGGCTCCTCTTCTCATGGAGCCTGGAGCCCTCTGCCAATGGAGCAGAGTTGGTGGGGGCTCATGCTTGAAGTGAGCTCTGCTGGGCAAGTTGCTCCTCCATGCACAGCACACTGTCAGGGGAGGTAGCCACAGCCTCCTGCTTTCTACCATCCCATAGGTTTTGCAAACATGCCCATTGCAAACTCTGCCTCCCACACCTCATGCATGATGCTCCCTGCCTGCCCAAACCTTCCAGTGAAGGCAGTTACAGCCAGGTCTTAAGAATCTAGCAGCAGGTAAGTCCATGGCCCAGGGAATCCTAATTACAAATGAATGTTTAGTGATTAGAGATGGAGAAAATCCAGACCTGTTCAGTGTTGCCAAGTATGGAGGGAGTTTGGATCTGAATCCAGATTTTCCCATCCCTTTAATGGGCAAAATTAACTTTAGATTTTAACAGTCCAAAGCTGTGGAATAACTTGGTCTGGGATTAAAAATTCTACCCTAGTACTTTTCTCTGGCTACATTGTAGACTGGTGTTTGGGAAATACAGTTTTGGTTTGCAGCTGTTGGTCTGTTATGGACAATACAGACACTGAATAAGGATACCTTTAACTTTCCCCTTTTCTTTCAGATTTACGAAAGCTGCCGATGTACCTGGATAGGTTCTGATATTTTTGTGGGATGTTTCCTGGATAAATGAAATGCTTTTCGGAGAACTGATGCTGCAACAAGTTACTCAAAGCTCCATCCAGCCAAGCATTCAAAGCCAGGCTGAACGGGGCTTTGATCAACGTGGTCTATTGGGAGATATCCCTGCCTATAGCAGGGGGGTTGGAACTAGATGATCTTAAAGGTCCCTTCCAACCCAAACCATTCTATGATTCTATGATTTTTCCATTTTATCTTTCTTTAAATGAGAGTACATTACAGAGCTCAGGAAACTTGCTTCTGCTACTACTTTTATGATTGATTGCATTTGGGTTTGCATAAGAAGAGAGGATATTTATTATGGGTTTTTCAGGTCTTGTTTTAAGTTTGGTCATAACAATTTGGAGGGCACTGCTAAACCTGCAAAAATGAGATTTGTGGATGTTTCACAAGTGCTAAGACCTTCCATCATATGAGACAAACTCTGTGTTTTCTACTTCTTTATAGGTAAGCAAGTTGCTGAAATCTGATTAAGTCTTATTGTGTCTTACTATGCATCATCATGCACAGAGGCATAATCTCGGCTTCATATAGCAGTAGATAGCAGTGTCATTAAGGCTCCCTAAAAAATCTATTGCGGTTCCATCTCTGTTCTCTAAATATATGAAAATGCAGATGTTAGCTGTCCTTATTTCTGGCAGTAGGTGAGCACATGTCATGCTAAGACAGATTTCAGAGCCTTTTCAGTACATTAATAGGTTTTGACTACACACTCTCATTAGGCACGTGTCCCAGCTAAAACATTCTTCCTGCTATTCTCCAAGCTGCCCACTAAGAGCCTGCTCATCCCAGTCTGCCTGGCTTCAAGAGGTGCAGACTCCAGAGCTGGATGGTGAGAGTTCTGCCCTGGTACTGTACTGTGATGGCTCCTGCTTTGGTTCATCTGCCTCCCCAGTAAGTGATGAGACTGAGTCTGGTGGAGTGTGACCTGGTATGTTGGTGATATCTGCTGCCTCGTGGGATTTGCTCTGTGCCTTCTGCACATCCTGTGCTAGCAACATTGGATCTTTACTCTAAGAAATGTCTTGTGACCTCTTTATCACATGGAAGGGAGTAAGAATGGCTCTCACGGCACAGAGCACTGATCCACCCAGCTCAGTGCCCTCTTTCTGACTCTGGCTGTCAGCAAATGCTTGGAGAAGAGTAGCATGGACAGTGCAGGCACACAGTACTGTATTCCCAGGAGACTTTTCCAGCTTCAAATGATTTGCAGCACTTACTTTCTTGGCAAGATGTTGTGTCAACATCAAGAAAGATAAGGTTTGCCAGTGTATTCCTCCTCCCTGACCAGGGTGATGCTGGATGTGGCCTTGGTAGCAGTAAAGCACAATGCTTGTGGAGGAAAAGCTTTCTGAGATTAAATAGATCTTAGAAGAGGCACTGAGCCTGCATGGAGACTCTCAAACAGCCACTGCTCTCAACTGGTGCTACACAGCTTGCATGGCAAATCACACCAACAAAAGCAGTGAACTCATATCAGAATGTACAATGTACATGTCTAGCATTTGTCTGGTTATATCTGGATTTATTATCCATTATCCAAACATTCCACATCCTCTGCAACAAATTTCCCATATTATTAAATTTAGCCAGGATGAATCTTAAGAATA